CGGCAGCAGCACCCGGGGCACCCGGGAGGGCGCCGCCGGGATCCGACGCGCGCCAGGAAGAGGCTGCAGAGCGGGGTGGGCTGTGAGCAGGTCGCGCTTTCCCAGAAAATACCAGAAGGAAAAAGCTTCCTCTTCCATCTTGGCTTCCCGAGCCAGGCACCCCGCATCCGTGCTCCTGGCCGGTGTGCCGGGCGGAGCGGAGAAGACGGGGAGGGAAAGGAAAGGCCGGGATGTGTAGCAAAGCGCTCATCCCGGAGAGCTTGCAAAGCCTCCGGGATTTTGGGAAGGCCGCGCTCCAGAGAGCCCGGCATCGCGGCCAGGCCCCAGCCCGCGGCCCTGCTCTCCCCACCTGCAATTGCCCTCGTCTCAACGCGGTTGCAAGCGCCCGGGTGCAAATCTCTGGTCGATCTGGGTGCAAAACCCGGCACCTATGGGGCACTAACCCTTAAGGGACTTGGCCCCTTTGCCCACAAAATGTGGCCACACGCGGGCGTATTCTGGGGGGGCGGCTGCATCGCTCTGGCCCAGGAGAGGCAGCTCCCGGGGAGGCTCCTTCTTGTTTCCCCTGCCGAGTTATTAGCTCCGTCGCACTGAAGTATCCTCGAATCCTCGCCCCAGCATCTGTCACTCGCCACCCACGGCTAAATATTCATCCCTTGCGTGTTTTTTTTTTAGCGCAGCCACCAGGGCGAGGGGATGGGTCCCTAAATGCACAACGAGGATGAGGAGGCACGCGGGGAGGCTCCTCTCTCCCATTCCACCCTTGCTTTGCACGAGGGCGGAGAAAGGCAAGGCTGGAAACTCCGCCAAGCGTTACCGCTGCTCCCTGAGCAAGAGTTATATATATTTTTTCATGCGGATCCGCGCGTCCGGCCCCGGGGCCGGGCGCGCATGCTCCGCTGCAGGCAGCCTCCACGGCGCCCTGCACATTCCCTGCTTCTCCCGGGAACTCTTCCTGGGTTTTTTTGCCGAATCCCTGCGAGGTTGCATGCTGCCGGAGCCCGCACCTCCGCGCCCCGGTTCCCTGTGAAGCGGCGGCGCTGCAGCCCGCTCCGCTAGCACGTGCCTCCGGTCTGCAAAGCTAATTGCTTCTAAATGGCTGATGAGGAGAAAACATGCAATGGAGCAGGGCCGAGGCGCCTCGCCGGGCTCTGTCCCCCTGCATTTCACTGGTTCCTCCAAAGCCACTTGGATCTGACTAGTGAGGGCAAATTTCCATGTGATCTCCTAGCGCCCGTGCCAGGATTACCCTAAAAATCCCAAGGCTGGTGCTGTTTTGCTGCTGCAAAGGGGCTGTGAATGCACTTTCAGTAGCAGGTGGCGGGAAGAAGCTGCTCCCGGTGCCCTGCAGGAGCCAGACACAGAGCTCACTGTGCTAAGGACCCCCTAAGCCCCCCAAAAACATTAAACTTAATTCCTAAGACATCTTTCTATTTAGACGTGGTGCAGCAGATCCTTGCAGTGCCTTAAGTGGGAATAGGAGAGCGATGACTGAGACATCAGGCCACAGCGAGCATAGAAAAATGAATCAAAATACTAAATGAAGATTCTGACCAGTGTCATTAAAAATAAATGATCTGAACTCGTTATAATTACTTCTCTGCCTGGAACATGCTGCTTGGTTTCAGGTACAGCTCAGGACAGAAGAAGAAAGATTTTAACCTGGGAGAAGAACGTGGCCCCAACGTCACCGGGTGGGATTAAACCCAAGCTCCATCTTCTCTAGGAATTTGGGGATGCCTGGGGAAAATGTGTGGCATGGCCCTTGGGGGTAATTTGTCCCCTTAAAATCTCCTCCTGCCCGCTCACAGAGACTGACTTGAGCCCTGAAGCAAAACTGCAATAGCCTTTCCCACTTTTTTTCATTATCTGTGATAAATTTGGGTGCCCGTGACAGGGCTAAAAATGTGCACCTACTTTATCAGTCTCAGCTCAACAGTATGGAAAATTCTTCCTCCAAGTATTTCAACCCGCTTGGAAGTATTTTCCTCTCTCTAGTAGCCCGGACTCATAGGGCTGCATCGTCCTCAGGGTTGTATGAAGAGGCAAAGCCTGGGCTTGTTTGGGGAAAAGCAGAGGCCTCCACTTTTCGGGGCTGCACTGGTGGAAAATGCAAAAACACTAGAGGTTGTTGTGCAAAACCCGGGGAATTTGCATAGATGGTAGGGACCAGTCTTGGCATCCCGTGTTCCACCTGGTTGTGAAGCACCCACTGCTGCAGGTGAACGTTTTTCCCTTGAATCTCCAGTTCTTCCAGTCGTGTGTTTTTTTTTCCCAATATTTTCAGTTTTATTTTTGAAACAAAGTTCCCATGCAGACCCTTGCTGACAAATAAGTCTTTTAGAGGTGGAAACCAGAAGACAAGAACCTAAAAATGCCTTGCGTTGAAAGACGACTTGATTTTTCCATTAATCTGATTAATTTTGACTGCCCGGAGTCGGCAACGCCGATGCAAATGAATGATCTGTATTGCCGCAGCCATGACTTGAAGATATAAGTATGGGAATGGCATAAACCCAAAGAAACAAAAGGACAGAGAAAGGGGCTGAAGCTGATGCAGAGAAACCACTGGGAGATCTGAGGTGCCACTGGGCATGACTTTTGCTGCCCAAATTGGCCCAGGGCTGCTGCATTTGGGGCTGTGCAACCTCCTGAAGTGCCAGGAACGGGCCCAGAGGGAGGCTTGGAGAAAACCCACCTGAATGGCCAATTTTGCATTTGGGGGTTGGTTTGGATTGATATGTGTTTTTATCCTGCAAAGACAGATTTTTGCCTTTTAAGGAAGTGGTTGCAATCCATGCACCATCATTGCCTTGGAGCAGCTGCTCCTTTCCCCAGATTTTTTTCCCAGCAGAGGCTCCGCTTCCTCTTAACTCCAAGCAAAACACCATGAATATTCGTGAACAAATGACGAGCCAGTGCAAAATTCCCAGTTTTGTAAACGGGTGCTCAGAGATGGCCATGGCAGGGGGACACTTTCCCGTTCACGCCAACGCTTTGGGTGTGCAAGGTGCTTTCCTGGGCTGAACATGGGAGCTGTCCTTTCTGGCACAATAATAAATAATAAATAATAATGAATCATGCAATTAAGGCTCCTGTCATCAAAGGCCATGGGGCCAGCACCGTTTTGGGGTCAGAATTGCCCTTTGAGGAGCCCTCGCTCCCGTGCACCACTCTGCTGAGGAATGGGGCGAGATCAGCGAGTTTGTGGTGAGGATTAGCGCGCTCGGGGATTAACACTCGGAGCATTAGCCCGATTTTACTCTACTTTGCGAGGGGAGCACATTAGCAATAATAAAGGTGCCGAGCGATATGCTAATATCGCACACAAATGCTATATTCCCCCCGAGTCCAGCGCCCGACGCGTTAAGAAGAACCACGGCCGCCCTGAAAGGCAGCCCGAGCCCCATCCGAATTAGCGATGCTGAGATTGGATTGTCATTCTAATGTTTTGCAGCGTTTCTCCAAATGCTGGCTGGAAAAGGCAATTACTGAGGGCTGCAAACAAACTTGGGGAAGCTTGAGATAGACAGAGCAATAATGAGCGCAGAGAGGGCGGCAGCGCCCGGGATGGACTCGCCGTTCGCCGTGCACGGAGAGGAGCAAATTGAGTTTTTCCCCTTCTAAGCAAAGAGGAGGGGACAGTGCCCGCTGAATGTCCTCGAAGGGGACGCACCGATGCATGCAGGGGCTGTCTAGGGCAG